TTAGAGGTGATGTAGTGGTTATAAGCTACTCTGAGATGTTCAGAAAACATTTTTCATTGTTAATTTATATGCTGAAAAAACATAGACATTTCGAAGTGCGATTATGTTTTTTTAATTAGAAACAATCAAAATACATTTGTTTAACATTTTTAGCAATTGTAAATAATTTTGTTTAATATTTACATCTTACTGATTGATATTATTTTCTATGAAGTGCGTAGTTTTCTTGTGTGCGTAATTTCTTTCTTTCTCATTTTCTGAAAATTACAAATTTTGAACAAAACGCAAAAAGCCTGCTCCTTAAATGTTTATTATACATATTACAGCGACATCGTTTCACTCATCAGACTTATAAGTATGTATTTATAGGTGTAATAATGTGATTAAGCATTTCCGCCGCGGGAATGCGCGGTAACAAGATACCGTTCTGCAAATATCGTTTTCAGTTTTGTCGCGTGAATTTTTCAGTACGTTTATTCCCCAAGCGGATAAATATATGGATCCCTCTTGAAATTCTAGTTTTCCAGGGCAGAAATGGGTCATTTTATCGAAATTTCAAGACCGCTTTTAATCGATTTACTTGTACTTTCGACTTCAGTCTTGCGCACGCCGTGCGAGAAATTCTACTTTAATTGGAGTATTCTTAATGGATACTCTTCGTATAGCCAGTCGAATCGTACGATTCACGAGCGCAAAAACGATGTAAGTCGACATTAATCTTCGCCCTCTGGCAAGATTGTGGAAAAGAGGAAAATTGATGGTTGCACGGGGATGCCGTTCCACGAACATCATTGCGTTTCTCGCTCGAAATGCCGTTTCATTATAAAAATTGACAGGATGGAATTTCTGCCACTGTCGACCTTCGACAGGATGTCAGCGATATAAAATCGATAATGCAGGTCATCGGAAGGCATCCGGTGATGTCAGTTATCTATGTTATGGCCACCATTACACGAACTCTGGCTGGTACACGCATTTCTCGATCTCGATCAGGCAGAAGAAAGGCCCGGTCATCGATATTCAACACGTGACGGTATTTTTAATTAAGCTCACAGTGCTATTTATCATCTCGCCGAGGTCGACCGAAGAATCTACGTGAAAGTCATTGATTAACTACTTTCGGATATGGGAGAACGGCTGAAAGTGATAGATTAATGGACCTTCGTGTATATGAAATTATCCAAAAGTTTATATTTTGAAATTGGAATACTTTTCGATACTGTCACATATTCTTGCAAAGTTTACATAAGTAGTAAACTATGCAAAGTGTGTGTGTGTGTAGTTAAATTTTATTTTAATAGAAATTTCTTTAGACACAAAATTTTGTTCTAATATAAAATTATATTTATTAAAATAATACAAAGTAATAAACATTTATAAAATATCTATAAATAAACTGCATAAAGAAGTCATTGCATATGTCAAATTTATAACATTATGTGTTTTTCAGATAATAATGTGATGAAGCGTTTCCGTCGTAGGAATTCGTAATAATGAGATATACCATTCTGGAAATATTGTTCTCATGTCTACTATGTCATTAATTTTTTAATAGGCTCATTCTCCAAGTAGATCGTGTAAGTAATGAAGTTTTAATCCAAAGGACTATCGCGGGAGAGATAATAAAGTCATGTGTCTAGGAGTGTTTATTTATATAACGTACACTTAAGAGGGCGGTAGATAAATTTACAAGGCGTTTGAATGAGTAGTCGGTGGCAAAATATCAGGTGTTACCTTCACTGTCATGAGAGCCTATTTCAACGCGATTTATACCGCAGGCGTGGGCGGTTCAATAATTATTCAAGTTTCTGGAGTGTTATTTTCTTACTGTTGACATACTAATAATTTATAAGTAAACACGCATTAATTTGCAATTATAGTATTATCCATATACCTATTTCTTATTATTATTTTTATTTAAAACTGCACTTAAGTTTTTCAATAGAAAAAAGCGATTTTTGAATATTGATACACATTTTTCCTCATTTGCTTGATAAAATTATTTAGTAATTCTGCTCTTATTGTGTAAGTACTATTCGATATGTCAACACTGTATATTTTTAGATACTAAAAAAATATATACAGTTAACAAATTTATTTTGTGTAATAAATGTGCAATAAATTTTTATAACTGCTCTGCTTATACAAGTTTTCTAAATCTCTTTATAAAGATAAATGTCATAAGTTTGAAATTAATTGATAGGTTAATCTTAGCTGATAGGATTTTATTATAATTAGTATCTTATAAACTAAAAAATATGAGGAGTTAACAAATTTATTTTTGCAATTAATTTTTATGCGTTCTGTTTATGCAAGTTTTCTGAATTCCGTTATAAAAACCAATGTTATAAGTTTAAAATTAATAGATAAGCTAAAATCTTAGCTCTGATATAATAAATGTTATAAGAAACAAGTGCTATAACAAATGTTATATATTATAAATCAATAAATAGACTAATCTTAGCTGATGAGACTGTCTTGACTTAATTAATATAGTTTATGACATTACATATTTCCAAAACGTATGACGCTGTTATTCTTAGAGTTATAACAATCGGCTCCGAATCAATTCTCCGACACCCGCAGATTCCCCTATCACTCGTGAATCACTCCAAACCATTTAATCTTGATAGTCGATAACCATGCGTTTCATTTGATGGTCGATACGATTGGCTCTCTCGGATACGACGCAATTCATAAAATTGGAAGCCATGCATCTCCATCCACTTATTGCTCTTACATTTTTTAAACCAAATGTCATTAATAATTTCAACGCGGTTTCAAATAAATGCCCCGTGTCAATCGAGTGTTTCTCTTTTTTTTTTAATTCCTGTGTATACTCCGCCCTTTTATCGATTACATTTTATCACGACGAATTCATCGGTAGAAATTTTTTATTTTTACCTTTGAGCTCTCGTACATCACGTGTCTACACATTAGAATGATACGATTGGCAGCGAATCAATAAGAACGAAGACGAACGATGTTTTCATCGTATTTCTGGAAAATTGAGTACTAAAGAGAGAGAGAGAGAGAGAGAGAGAGAGAGGTGGAACCATTTTCGTTTTACACAATGAAAACGAGGTCACTGCAACTCCCTTAGGAATGCCATGTACGCTGTGACGATAAAAGCATTCCACCAAAGGCGATGATAGATACGGAAATAGATATAATATTGCTAGTCGTTTTTGCTAGAAACGATAATGAAATAATAGACAAACATCATTTCGAAATCTCACGCCATTTATATTTTATTATGATTTTTATCCAAGAGAGCGTTTTTCTCTTTCTATCAATTACTAATCAATTCACACTTTATTGATTAGTCTATACTTGCATAACATTGCGTTTAAAATAAAAGTTAACTTCCTCATCTTTTTCATTTTTTTCTTTCATTTACGACGAGCACTGCAATATTATTGTGACTAAGCGTTTTTCAATTGTCACATTATACCTTCCTATCATACATGTTTTATTGCATTATTCAGCATAGCACTGAACAAAATGAGGTCATTTGGAATAATTAACACCGAAGATACTAGATCTTATATTATATAATTCCTACGAAAAATTTCCGTCTTCAGGATTTTGCCAGGTTGGAAACCACTTTAAAACATGGAGTTCGTTCAGTCCTTAAAGTACTTTCACGAGAACTTTTTTCAATCTTTTCTATTGCATATACTTAAATTTTCACCATTCCAACTTGGAGATTTTCTTCTTAATATTTATCAAAGTATAATATTTATTAAAGAACAAAATTCGATACAATTATTATTAGCGATAAAGCTATCATAATTCAAAAGATTTGCGCAAAAAAGTGTATATCTTTATTTCTAAAAGAAGAAGAATGTATTAGATTATTTAATTTTGCTGATTGGTACTTTAATTAAAAGTAATTTTTGTAATTTAATTATTTTTTTGAGATAACAAAGCTACTATCGTATTTTATTATTTTAACTAATTCAGCAATGTGCTCTGCGATTTATTCTCTCCGATAAACATTTTGTAATGAATTTTTCTACAGTGTTATTAATAATGTAAATTAATGACATCGAAGTGGAATTATGCGTGATCTGTCCAATTTAAAGCAGATTTAATTGACGAGATGTGATTTATATTACCGTAATTAGATTCATTGCCCGTATAAATAGATTTTCCAAAGATAGAATATTTGTATAATATTCAACACAATGTTATTGAAACAGTATAACAAAAGTGGGATCATAATTTGATCATCGAAATTACTTTTGTGCAGTGCTTGCATGATGGAATAAATTTCACTTTGTTATTATGTTATTAATTGTAATTTAAACCAAACGTTGTTGTTAATCTATTCTAAAGTCAGTAGCTTATAATTGTTGTATGTGCAATATAGTTAAATTAAACAACAAATTAAATGCTTCGTTTGCATTTATCCTCAAATGCCATCGGGTCATCAAATATCATCATGAATGCACATAAATTTCGCATTGATCTTTTCAGTATTAGAAAAAGAAATTGACTGAAGAAATCGCTCATTACTAGGAGAAGCAGAGGACGCGTAAGAACACTTATGTTGCAGTTTGAAACTTCCTAAACGACGTTCCTCGACATTCATGGCACCGAGAGGTTGCATTTCATTACATCCTCAACTCGCTCGTATAAAAAGCGTTTGCATTTATTTTCTTGTTGAGTTCGCCGAAAATTGCAGATCGTAGAAATAAATAACCGTCCCTACGGCCGTGTGAAAGAAATTATGGTACACGAGCGGCTAAGTCGTTCTCGAGCTGACAGAAGTCGTTCCCATTCGCTAATCTCACGAAGGTCTTATAAGTATTCATTCGCGAAGTTATAATGCCACCGGCACCACACCACCATGCCGTGGCAAAGCGGATTGGGAGAACCGGAGGGTGGTGTGCAGCTCATTCGAGGGCGGCTCGTGCAAGAGGAGCACAACTAGGTGATGTCTAGGTGGCGCAGCCGCGACAAAATCGATACCCCATCGTACCGGCGAACGAAACAGGCCGTCTTCCAGTACGCGGCTCGTGCGCACGAGGTAAACACGGCGATCACAATCGGATCGACAATCGGAATGGAGTGACGCGTGAAAAGTGAGGTCAGTCGATTGCCTCCAGTCCGATTGTCAGGGCCAGCATCATGGTATGCTTCCGTGTGGAAGACTCGATGACTCGATGACTCAATGACTGCGTGCGACATCCACAGGTGCTGATGATTGCGCTACCGATTGTAGCTCGGAACGAATGGTGATGGTTTATACCGATCACACGTTAAAGTCTGTTAGCACCTGTGCGATGTCAAAGGCGTGCGTTCATCCCCCGGTGAATTACACTTATATCATTTCTCTCCTTGTATGTGCAGTACGGTTTTGTGAATTACGCCCTCGAGCTCCTGGTCGTGAAGACCTTCGGCAGTGAGACGTGGGAGACGATAAAGTAGGTAAAAAATAGATCATCTTCATTGTCTTTCATGTTTTTTTTCTTGCACTGTTTTTTTTATACACCTACGCGTGCAACCCTCGCGTAATCTTTACAACGCGGCGCGATGTTTCGCTCGACTACCGTCGGACGGACAATCAAGTGTTGACATAGGTCAGTTGAAAAAAGAATAGTTTGTGCATGAAATGGAATATCATTTTATTATGATCTATATACGGATATATATATGATATTATGTTACATGTGATATTACGCCCACATGCACTCATCAATATTATTATGCCACGTGCGAAGCAATCTTTTCTCGTTGTTTATTAATATTGAAAATTATAGAGATATCGTTTTTCTTTGTACCTTCCCACTCATATAGGTTCAGTTTCATAACTTATGATTAACTCTTAACAGAGATTTAACTTATTTCTCATCTCTTTCCAATTCTAACATTAGAATTGTGAAACTGAATCTTAAAAACGTAAATAAATTTTAAAATATCTTAAAATTAACTTTCTTATTAATTATCGCGCTATTTTAATAATGTATTGTAAATATGTTGTACATTGTTAAATTCATAATGTCAAATTATATCCAATTTGAATTATTTTTAATTATTTCTATCAGTCGTCACTGCTTCTATTCAATATGTCATTAATTTAAAACTTGAAATTAAACAATATATTTCAAATTTAATTTATTATTACTTATAAGTACATATGTTATTTATTTTGAAATTATCCACAGAAATGAATTGATTTACATTTTAGAAATTAAAAACAGTAAAATATGTTTTTTTAAATTTACTATTGCTCCTTTGACATCTAACAGGGTATGTTGGTTATATTCTAATCTCTTTTGTAATAAAAATACCCTGAAGTGCGCTTATTATAAATGTAGATTATTTTATGAACAAAATAGGTACCGTTTAAAATTACCTGTGAGAGAGCCAATTTATCCACCCTGAATGAAGTTTGTAATATTACCAGCAAAATTGGATTGCAGAATATTGTTAGGTAATATCGGAAGCATCATCTGGTTTTATAATAACATCATTACAATTACGAAATACTGCACTTGACATATTTTAAAATGTAATCTTCAACAATGTTATTTAAAAAAAAAGAGAAGTTGAATTTTAATAAATATTTTAATGACAATTTTAATATATTAAAATTGTCATTAATATATTAATATATTGTCATTTTAATATATTAAAATTGTTAAAGTCTAAGTTCTTTTTGTAAAAAGAACTTAGACTTTAATTGAGACATAATAATTGCAATTATTAATTACAACATAATATAAAGATTATTATCTATCTTTATGATCTTTATTACTAATACTATTATTATTATTATTATTATCATATTATTATTATTATATTATATTACTTTATTGTGTATAGATATCATTAGCAGTTTCTTATAAGTATCCTCTTCTCAAAAACTTTTCTGAAAGATGTAATTTGTTTCATGATATGAATATTAATAAAGCTGAAGTTTTCAAAAGATGCTGAGTTAAGCTTTGAGTGTGACACTTGATATCCATCAAAGAATTGAACTACTACTTTGAACATTTGACACACAAATTAAATAACAGCAAGATCGTAAAATTCTTAATAAATTATCGGTCTTTCAAAATTTCTGTAACGCGAATTTAGGATTTAAACTGTCATATCTAAGTATACTGTAATACCTAAGTATACTAATTTTTAATTAATAATTAATTTTTGTAAAATGGTGAATTTAAAAATGAGTGTCGAATTTTATAAATGAATTATGTATCATTTAGGAATTATAATAAATATATATATATTTTTTTTTATTATCGGGAATTCTCTTTTACAATTGCATTGATGGTTTAGAAAAGATGCAGCGGTTAATATGGAAGGACAGTTTCTGGTGCGGCAAATCTACGAAGACGAGATTACCTATAATCTGATATCTGCAGCTGTCAATAAACTTAGTACGTATGCGACAGAATACGAAATAAGTCCATTGTGCCGACTGATTCGTAACAGGAAATTTTACTAGACATCTTATGCTCTAGATATTCCTGCCAATGAAATACTTGAATTGTTTGGTCGAATGTTCTTCGAGTTTTGCCAAGATTCTGGCTATGACAAGATCCTTCAAGTTCTTGGAGCAACACCTAGAGATTTTTTGCAGGTAAATTTTAAAGAATGCTGTTAATTACAGATTTCAATAATAGATGTCAATTATAGATTTTTCTCATATTTAATGCAACACAGTTTAATACGCTTGATACTGGTTTACCGACGCAAAAAAGTAGAATCTTATACTTTACTCGATCTCGCGCTTTAGATTTTTCGTTTACTACTTTAGCAATTAAATCGGACGTTTCCCGCAATTGATACGTATCTCTCTCTTGCTGTTTAATTTATCACTAAACCATTTACTAAATCAGCCACAGTAGAACAAGATATACGTGAGTAAAGATAAGTATAATAAATTAGAAAGTTTTATCGGTAAATTATCTCCAGTTAATTTTATATTTTCTAAAAATATTAATAAATATATAATTAAATCAATAATAATCATTAATTAACTAGCATAAATTATTAGTAATATTATAAAAACATAAAAGTAAGCATCATTCTTTCTAATGAGGAAAAAAATTTTAATTTATATTGCAATACGACGATATTCTTAATTTTAAATGTACATTCAATCTCTCTCAATTACTCATTTCGTATAAAAGAGAACAGTGCAATTAAATTCAATCTGAAGTTTTCTGCCTTTTGCAGATTTTTATGCATATTATTTCATTTATACTTTATAGTATAATACTGAGAATTACAATGTCACATAAAAATGCTTCAAGCATTTATATCAGCTGTTGTAAAACTAAATTTTATATGAATTTCTTTTTAATTTTTCATTTCAATATGCAAACTGTACAACGTAATATTTATTATCTTGTATTTTATAAAAATAATGGAAACCTATTCAAATATACTTATACGGATCAAGTATTATTGTAGCACCAAGAATATTTTTCGAAGATATATATACATTTTAAATTCATATTCGATATTGGAAACAATACATGTGCGCACGTTATCAGACATATATATAGATGCACATCACATTGCAGAATTTGGACGCGCTTCACGATCATTTGGGTACGTTATATCCGGGCATGAGGGCACCATCATTTAGATGTACAGAAAGACCCGAGGATGGCGCGCTTATTTTGCATTATTATTCAGATCGACCTGGTTTGGAACACATCGTTATTGGAATTGTTAAGGTATTCTATTTTCTTTGGTAAAAATTCTCTGGTAAAAATGTGATTTATTATTATGCAAGACTCGAGAAAAATCAAAATCGTGAAAAACGAAATTTAATTCTATTCTGGAATATTTCCTGAAAATACATTTAACGCTATAAAATACACAAAAACTCAGCTCCGAGAGACTTTCACGAGGAAAACTGCAGCAATTATTTTATATTTTAACGGAAATATTTTAACGAGAAGGATTAGTCGATAGTAAAGAAAGAATGATAGAAGAATTTTCGATTTATTTTTCTGAAATAGACCGTTGCGAAAAAACTACACGACACGGATGTTGACATGCAGATAGTGAAAACTAAAAGCGAATGCGATCATGTACAATTCCTCATAACTGACACATCAGGGCCAGGAGTCGTATCAAATCCTATGATCGCTGAATTGGAAACATTGTCTGTCGGTGAGTAGTATATCGCAGTTTCTTTCCAATAACACGTATCGGCACAAAAATCAATAAACTTGACAAATAATGATAGAATCGCAAACATAATATTAAAAAAGTATAATGTTAAATAATTAAAAAGACTATTAAGATACATATTACAAAAAAAGGAATAACAGATATCTAATGAATTGTCGTAGAACCGAAGGTCAGCCCAACAACGTTCTGTCGAGTGTTTCCTTTTCATCTAATGTTTAATCGGGACCTTACCATAGTTCAAACCGGATGTACCATAACGCGTGTTATACCTCGCGTTTCTAGCGGTCATTGCAAACTAAGCGACATTCTCTTAACTGTGAGTTGACGAGCATCAAACAATATGTTCATTATAGTCAATACGTAGTTCATCTTTTGTCTTTGCTTCGTTATAAATTCATTTTTGTACCTCGATGTTTTTTTATATCTCATTCGAACTATTGATTTTGAACGCTTTGCATTTTATCGATTAATTAGTCACAGACCAATCAGAAGACGTGTTATTTTTCTTGTGCTATTTTTCTTGTGCTTGTTTTCCTTCGTGATACTGATTATTACAGCTCAGAAATTTATGAATTACGTATAAGAGGACTTTTGTCCGATAATATCGTTTCAGCATTTCATTGATACTGCATGAAGTATTGTCTGCGCTGATATCGATCAATTTTCAATAAACCTTCCTAATTATTCCCTGTCAAAGGAATTGCATTAGTACACAATGCCTGCTATTACATACATGCCTATAAGCACATGAATGTATATCAAACGCAGCTTATTGTGACGGACACAGAGCGTGTTGTCCGAGTCATCCATTTAATATAATTTGCGTTCTTGTTCATGCGTAATTGTAATGTTGTCAATTAGCTCACCATTATAATCCCTCATTTTAAAAATCATAGACACATCAAATGTGCTATTGCTGCAAATATTCTGCTATGTAATTCTGTTTAAAATAACCACAATTTCCATTTGCATTTTGATAGACCAATTTAATAAATTATTACGTGAAATTGGGTTAATTAACTGTCATTTGGGAAACTTCGTAGGTCAGACCGCATTTGGAATTAACATTCGAAAATATATTGTCGCATATTAATACAGTGTATGTGCTAAGAACAAAAAAAGGAGTTATGCTTGTTGATGCTGCCGAGGAATATTCGTCTTTACGTTTAAAGGTCAGTAGTCTATAAAGATGAATCAACTCAGATAAATTAACACCAACTAAAAGTAATATAATATCTATGTTATAATTTTTTCATTCAATAATATAAATGTAATACAAACGCATACAAACATAATCAATAATACAAACGTAATGCAAACATAATTAATAATATAAACGTAATTGCACATAGTGCTACGTAACAGTCATATTGTTGAATGAAAAATTATAAATAATGTAGACATTATGTTACTTTTAATTAGTGTCAACTGGGAAGAATAAAATACACGGAAAGAATAATTTTACTAAAGTATTTAATAGTCAATATACACAACTCAAAATAATTTTGTTGGATTATCAAAATAATTATGTAGAGAGAACTCAAGCATGATAAGCAGTACTATAAAAATTTTTAACATTCTAGTAACCAGTTTGAGCGTCCTACATAAATATCAACAAAAATTCATAACTTCACTAGAGCCGAGATTAGAATAAATCTTAAAACTGGCAAATGAGAGACGTGAAAGAAACGGAGCGTGTAATTGGCTCTTGTTTATTCTCATATAAACCTCAATACTTGTGTAACTTTCACTGAAATCATTGTCGCAATAATAGAATTGTAGTGAAATTTTAATAATAATAATTCACACTTTAATAAAAAATCATACTCCATATGCAATGATGGTAATGACATTCTTCTACATGGTAATAGAAGGATCTTACCCATTGCATGCTGGGAGAACAGAATTGATAACAAACGACTATTAATCTTAGACATCTTCGTTATCGCTGATGATGGTTTAACAATTAAAACCGCCGTTCATGTTTCAATAGAATCATCGAAAATTAATTTGCTAATTTCCTATCCTTGTTTTCAGTTGATAAAAGTTATTTTGATATTATCTATGTTACTATAATTATTTGTATTTACATGTTCTTAATAATTTATACTGCATATCTGATACAAAAAAATTAAAATGATAATCGGAGCTAAAATGGCACTTGGGCCATTGGCGATTGACGATACCGGTATTAAAATAAATCGAAACAATTGATTTTATTATAAAAATATTATTCTAAATATATAATTTACGTTGCTTTATTATTGCGCATCAATTATTGTTTCTTTCACGACTCTTATTTATAAGTTTTAAAATTTATAGTAGTTCTACATAAACATATTAATAGTCCAATAAAATTATTGTCAGATCTATATCTAGCTAATACTTCAAAACTGTTCTTTCCGTGTAGAATTAATAAAGAACTTTTTACAGTTTAATAACTGTTCCAGGGTCAAATGTTGTATATACCTGAGACCGATATGGTTATTTTTCTGTGTTATCCAAGTGTTATGAACCTGGATGACTTAACTAGGTAAGACCCACGTCTTTCCATAAATCTATTAAATACTCTTCGTTTACGTAATAAATCAGTATAACGGGATGGAAAAGTATATATAACTTATTACCATAAACTTCTACACAACCTCATCGTAATACTTGTTAAACTTGTTCTCCCTTCTTTTGCGGAAAGGGAAGTCGTGTCTTTTAGTATAAGATATTAACCTTATTTCTCTCGGTCAACTTCGGATTCTTTTTCCGTTTGTGTTAAACAAACGTAATTGGTTAAAGTTTCGTGTTGACATTGCTAAAAGTTTTATACGTGACTACTTGATACGGTGAGGGGTGGATTCTCATTATCCCGCTTGACAACCGTCTCTATCGTCGTGGATCGCAATATCGTCCCGAATTATTCTTTTGGCTTCAGGCGGGGTCTGTACTTGAGTGACGTCCCTCTGCACGATGCCACTCGAGATCTGGTTCTGATGTCTGAACAGTTTGAGGCGGATTACAAATTAACGCGCAACTTAGAATTACTCACCGATAAACTGCAGCAGACGTATCGCGAACTTGACGGCGAGAAGCAGAAGACCGACAGGTAAGGATCTCCGCCCACGGCACTTCCTGATTATCTTTGCCACTGGTTCGTCGTTTACCAATAATTCGATTACGCGAGATCCGCAACTCGCAAATCGCTTTGGGAATCCTTCCGTTCGCGATTAACGGAAATGGATTTATGACGGAACACGATACCGCAAAATGGAAGGACTTCCGTTTATACTCGAGGAAAGCAGAAATCTTTTCTAAGATTTCCCGCAACCGAGATTTACTTCGAAACTATTCAAATTTAATTTCTCTCAACGACTTGCGGAAATTTTGCTGAGAACTGTTAATCTGATTAGGCAAAACTAGCGCGCGCGATACGATGGGAAGTTGCGACGTTGAATAAAAGATCATCTGTATTCACTGCAGGTTGCTTTACTCAGTGCTTCCTATTTCGGTGGCGAATGAGCTTAGGCATTCACGACCGGTACCAGCGAAAAAGTATGATTGCGTTACTCTTCTGTTCTCCGGTATAGTCGGCTTCGGAGCTTATTGCGCTGCTCATACAGACTCTAATGGCGCTATGAAGATCGTTAATATGCTCAACGAACTGTACACGGCTTTTGACGTGTTAACTGACCCAAAAAAAAATCCTAACGTCTATAAGGTAAATACGTATAATTAATTTAATTCTTACAATTTTGAAAAATGATTATTACATACAATTTTGATTACAAGTATAAAAAACATTCTCAACTTATTGCATTTTTGGAAAAAATGATAATAAAATCCAAAAGAAAATTAATAAAATATTAAAATTGTTATAAAAATAAATGTTATTTTTCAATAAAACTGATTTTTTATTTATATTAGTTTTTTATTAGATATTGAATATCAATTTACGTTTATTAGATATTGAATGCCAATTCACGTCAATTTGTGGGAACAATATATACTTTTGGACTGTAGAAAAATTATATAAAAGACATTTACATGTTATAAATCTTTGTGCGAAAACATTTTAAAAAGAGAAAGTGGCCGACAAAATTGCTCACAAATATCATTTACGCGGTATCAATAACATTTGGATTTTCTAAAGTTTCTATTAATTTCACTTTTGATCGATCTATAGGTAGAGACTATCGGTGATAAATATATGGCAGTGAGTGGATTGCCGGAACCCTGTCGTTGTCATGCACGATGCATCGCACGCCTAGCATTGGATATGATGGATCTCGCGGCGGATGAAGTGCAGATCGATGGAGAGCCCGTGGTATGTACAAGCTGTCTGCACTCCGCTAGGTATACTTTGATACATGACTATGTATCGAAACGCTTTGATCTGAAAAGAGTTGACAGTATAAGTCAATTTAAGATTGGACGTTAAACGTTACACGTTGTAGCGGGTAATATCGAAAGAGTTGCTGTTAAAGAAATTATCGAGACAATCCGTCCGATGACTTTTGTAGAAAGTTGAAATCTTCTTCGTATTTTATACAGTTAGACGTATGTGTGTGTGTGTGTGTGTGTGTGTGTGTGTGTGTGTGTGTGTGTGTATTTATACATATATGTATCGTGTGCTCGAATCGTTTGCAATTTCCCGAGAGACAGCTGATGGCATATCTCGCCACTATTTTTGTATCTCTTTGCAAAGAAAACTAACTTCTTTCTCCGAGTTCAGTGCAATTCTCATGTTACTTAAATACTTAACAACGGATTACAGTTAGAACGTTACGTGCAATTCGCAATTCAATTCTGGAAAGAAAAAGAAAAAATATTGACGCAACTTCAATAAATTTAAGTTTTCGTGCTGCAAACATGTGATATAAAGACAACAGGACCTTTGCACATACCTTTTGCATTAACATTACTAAAAATGAATAATCTTTTTATAATTTAGATAATTAATACTCTTAGATAAAAAAATATGCTTATAGAAATTATTGCATGTATCATAAAAACAAGAAAAAAACATGTTCCTTTTATAACTTCTTAAAAGTTTATATAAGTATATCTAATACTATATTAATTATTTTTGAATTTTTTAAAAATTAATATAATATTATATATGTATTTGTAAATTATTTTAAATATTGCTAATATATAAATATATAGATATATAAATTATTTTATATAATAAAATATATTAAAAATTTCTTATTTTTATTATATTATATAATTATATTATATATATATTTTTACTATACTGTCTCTTTCACTTGGTTCTCAGATTGAACGAAAGTTGCTAACGGTTCACAACTTTGGTTTCCCGAACGCGTACATTATTACATTGTCTCACGACATACTTTCCATTATTCTTGAATGTTTCTGGTATTCGCATCGCGAGCGTATACAAGAGCATCCCTCACAAAGTTTTTCTCTAATTCCCAAGATTCATTAACATAGCGTCATTATAAAACGCTATGACCCGACCTTCTGAACTTGACTTTTTCTCAAACCTTAGACCTTAGACCTACTTGAACGTCTCGCGCGAGATTTCGCTTTCATATATCAAGTATTCCACATAAAATCTGACATATATTTAAATATACGATTCGCATCTATCAAAATCTTTGCCGTAATTTGACTCTACTTTCTCTATCCATATATTTTGCTAAACTGTAAGTTCAAGATTCGAACTTTATGCGATGACTTTAAAAGATTTAGCATTTGCTAGATTCTGCACTCGAATCGACAGAAAGTACGTTTTATCGAATCATAGTGAAATTTTAAGACACTGCGTACAAACGCATATGATAAAATATTTCTAAGATTCATTGCTAAAACAAAATAAAACACCGATACCGATCATCCCGCGAACGAGTCATCAGTCTTGTAACAAATCCAGATAATTTCTCAAAGATTCTGGAATCTGCAGTTTCTTGATTCCGTGAGGCAATGCCCAATTATTATGGAGGGTCTCGCGGATTCGACAACGGCACAGATGTCTAAGTTCCGCTGGACAAATTCCGCTACGTTCCGGAGGTATTAGATTTTGATTCGCCAGGTTGGGATACTGCTCGTACAAAGAGATACTAAATATACCGGTGTGAGCGGCGATATGATCAGGAGTTCTGATGTACGCAGCGGTCACAGTTCGTAATAGTAGCTTCAGACACGTCAGCAGATGTTCCGGATAAACGACTTCCTTCTGTCCGGGTTGTGCCTCGTACTCGCTCAGTTTTGTCAGAATCATCTCTATCGGCGACGGAGCCAGTTTGTCAGATTCGATTGAAGCACCGTAGCGCAGCATGATCAACAGGATATCCGGTGCGCCGTGTTGGATCGCGACCCTGAGAGGCAGAACCTGTCCATACGACTCCATGGTCACGTCGATGAAACGTCTTTTTATCGGCGAGGATTCGCAACGGTACTCCAACCGACCGCTAATTGCGTGATCCAAGAAGTACACGAGAGCCCGGATGTTCTCCTTGCGATCGTCAAAGTCGCACTTCCAGCCCGACAGGAAATGCGTTACGCGCGTGCCGAAGATTGCCCCGATGAGTAATCGCTCGAACGTCTTCTCGCAATAGAATATGTCATTTAACAGTCGACTGACAATCGTGTTATTGTGGATATCCCAATCATAGCACAGCTTCGCCGCCACGTAAAGAACATTATGAAATTTGCCGAGTAAACAGATCGATCCGTTCTCCATCATCGTGATATTGTGATAACGCAGAGCTGAGAGAACTATCCTCTCGCATACGTCCTGCTTGTCGAGGTCTTCCGCTGGAAGCATCAAGCGTGATTCATAGTCTCATCGGTTGTAAAATGATGAAGCAAGTAAAAAGTCGTGGAATTTATTCACGTAAAACGCGGGCGAGACGAAGATGTAAATTATTCTGGAATTCATGACGATGCGTTTGCGACGTGGTATTTTTCACCGTTACTGCAACGGCATTGGCGGAACAACGAAGACAAATAGAAAGAATAGGATTAGGCACGGTTTAATGTAACGGTAAGATCATAATGGGCGGCGATATCTTTGCGTGGTTCAGGAATTCCCGTATAGCGCCTTAGAGACGGATGAGATTTAGCACGGATAAAATTATACATCGTTAATATCGCGGAACCACGATGGCATATCGTCTGCGAATTTTGGAATTTTCTGTTCGGACTTGCGGGTAATAAAATGACGTTGTCATACTAATGATCATAGATTTAATGATCGTCGATGATCTCGACTGCGGTCCATTTGTCACTTACGCGTCTCACGCGTAAACATCACGCATATATTATAGGACATTGATATCATAAATCTTATTACCTTCTGCACAACTATTTATCACATCCGTGAAATAACTGACCAGCTCGCGACGTTTGTATCGCGAGGCCAAGGAACTGCGTTCCATTTCCGAAAACAGTCTGTCGAAATAGCAATCTATCAGTACCTCCATGATTTTCGAGTGATTTTAATTAGGCAACGCGCAACACAAAAAATTTAGTATAATTTCAATGACAGGTATCGCGTAACGTTCACGTTTTAATGGTTATCAACAGAAGAAACGAGCCAGAACTCACACGGCGGGGCCGATAATTCGATTAGACGTGAAATACGCATTTTAGAGGCTTCTTTGCACCCTAGGAGACCATTTACATCCATGTTGAAAAAAGCAGGGGCAGGCTTCTTATACTTCATATATATATATATATATATATATATATGTATAATTCAAGGTTTTAAATGCGATAAATCCCTGCGTTGATAGAGAAATGACACAAATAAAAAAATCAGTATTTTGAGATAATAAAAGGAAACCAACTCTCTAAAGATATTAGTCTTCAGATTCTTTCATTATCTTAAAAATTTTAATTTTTTACTTGTATCTTTTTCATTTCAACGTAGCAAAATATTTCATAAAAAAGGGAGTGATAACATATCATTCCTTTGTAAAACCTATAATTAAAACATACATTCTACTGATCCTAATGACTCAGAGACTTTTTCTAAGAATTTTTAAGTAGTAATAATTTAGAATAATTTTATATTTCATAGTTCTAAACTTGAAAAATTAAAAAAAATAAAATTATATATTTTAGCGTAAAAAAATGTATTACAGATTAAATGGCTATTATATTAGCGTTAAGATTTTCACAAACGTTTATACGATTTGTTGCAGATATCTCTGTATGCCTGAAAATCAAGATCCGCAGTTTCTTTTGGAATATAGAGGTCCTGTCTCTATGAAAGGAAAATCCGAGCCTATGAACGTGTGGTTCCTGTCCAGAGAAAGAGAGCTAACATCTTAAATTATTTTACACAGCAATGAATTTTATAGCAATAATTTCAAGAAATCATTTTAGAGATTAAAAAATATGAATGTAATAAAATTCGTATATTTATTTAAGAAAAAAAAGCTAATAATTAAGATAATATTTTAACAATAAGTCTGCTTCGTTCAAGTTATGACTATGCGTTTAATATATCAAAAAGTTTATAAAGAGGTTATTATATCGGGATATCGTCGATGTCTCACAATCGAATTGTTTCCACAAGCAAATTGTAAAGTCGAGTCGAGCGTCGACACTTCGTCTTCGACTCGACAGGCTGTTCAGCAATCGTGTACAAGGCAATCAAATATAATCGTTATTTATTTGGCGACATTACGGCGGTAAAATTTCCTTTCCCGTTTCGCGCGACCCACGTTACTCGACAGGTCATCGATAACCGCTTTCAGCGTGGAGGTCACTAACGTGAAAGGTCCTCTGCCCTCTTAGCTGAAAAAAATCAGCAAGAATAACAGATGGATGGCCTACGCTGTGCTCACAAATAGAAGGTGTAACGGAACTTGTTCTAGTCACCTTTAAGTCTAATGCACGTTACAATGTCAATGGATTTTACAAACATTCTATTCGGTCTTAAGAACACTAATGATGTCTATTTCCGTTTTACACAACGAAGCTTTATATAAATTCAAAAAATAACATATTAAACTATCTTTAAAAGTAGTTACATTTATTTTTCTGTGCAATTGTATAGTTTGCAGTAATTATAACTGTTGCGTTTAATTTTCAAATTGCTTTTATTAGCATAGCATGTAATCATAAGCGTGATCAAAATAATGATTTTTAGAGCTAACATATATAGCTATATATTAATATTAACTAGTGAGAGAATGATCATCAATGCGATCAATTTTAGTGCATGATAAGCATTATCCATTGGATAAGCAAAACTGTCATCATCATCCAACTGATATATCGTTTTAAGATGTCCTAAATTTACACGCGATTCTTTAATCATTTAATATAAATAATTATTAACTAGATACACATTGAGTTGGAACAAAAGAAGCTAGAACTACTTAATTTGTATCATGGTTTAGACAAACATGCTAAAACTACTTAATTTGTATCATGGTTTAGAAAAACATGATACAAATGAAGTACATATTAAAAAAAAAATTGTATACTATTATATATCATTCGATAAACTGAAATTTCAGCTTTAATCATCTTTTTTAAATTATGGTATTGATTTTTAATGCAATTACGAGCAATTAAAGTTAAAATGCTTTTTTTATTTAATCCGATAATTCAATAACAAAAAAACTTTAGAAATATCTTTAAGAAATATCTTTAAGAAATAATTTAGGAAAACTTTAAGTTTTCATATTAGAAAGTCCAAAATTTTTGCAAGTTTTGGGGTACATGATAGGTCTATAAAGTGAGAAGAAAATTTTGTCCAATAGTTTTCTATATGTAAGAATTATTAACTCATAGAACTGAAAAAATATTAATATTATAATGATTTTTAAAATACAAGAAGTGTAAAGACTCGAGTGATATACAATCATAAAAATAAAAAGAAAAACCTGTAAGAGCCAACACAAGTTATTTGTGTGTAAAAAATGTAATATTTATTGATAAAAATCTAGACATTTTGACCACATAATTTTTTTTAATCTTCAGTAATTAACTGAATTCAACAACATAAACTGTACGCTATTAAACTAAGTCACTTGGTAAATATACAAAATATAAGATGCGTCGAACTTGCGTCGGCTCTTATAGGCTTTTCTTTTTACTCTTATAATGACTTTTCAAAAGTAAAGATTTTAAAGTTTTAAACCCTTTTTTAAATTTAAATTTTGTTCGTTTGTTAACATACAATTGCTTAATTTTAAAATTCGCAGCGATACGAACTTTTATTCTTATCCAATATACAATATAATTTGATAAAAAAAATTTATGCACATAGGAGCCGTATTCTACAACTTTTAACGACACTGTCGATATGTGTTCTTGCGCAGTTTTTTTTACTATATGAAATATCTGTGCAATCATGCTATAACGATATCGACACTGTCGTTAAGAGTTACAGAATAGGAGAATATCATAAGAACCATTATCTCGGAAACAATGACATATGACAAAAGCTAGAACTATTTCGATTTCTCTCTACAAGTTCTACGAGGAAGGTCGGACGCATCAATGCTATATTTATCATCGTTATCGAAAAACTGTCTAAACCTAACCGTCTAAATCTGTGCACTATTCTTTTCCTTCCAAAGAATATATATATATATATATACATACCTGTTTGCCATAAAAGCAATTCTCTCTATAATTTCTCAGGGCATTTCTCTTTTATAATATTAGTTGGTGCAGGTGAAATGACCATTTTTCGTATTATAATATATTCCAGTATATTCTACAATATTTTTAAAAAATTAGCGATTATATCATTCAAAGTTTCAACTTTAAGAATCTATATTTTTTTATTGTAATATAATGATTTTTAACGGAGTTATGAGCAATCAAAGTTAGAATGTTCTTTTTACTTAATCCGCGAATACTTAGGAACAAAAGATCGGAACATTATTAAAAAACGATAGGAAACAAAAGATAGAAACAGTATTAAAAAACGATTTTGCAGGGAAAACTTCAATCTTTCATGATAGATAGTTAAAAATTTTCTCGATTTTTTGGGAAGCATGTGACAGACCTATAAAGTGAAAAGAAATTTTTTCATTTTTTTCAGCTGATAGTTTTCTATATGTAAAAATTATCGAACTCACATAAACTGAAAAAATATAATAAGTATTTTCTTTCTGGAAGTAGAGTTTTCAAAAGCTTTAAAATCCTTTTTTAAATCAAAATTTCGTTCATTTTTTAACGAAGTTACGACTGTTCTTAATAGCAATATAGAAAAACGGTCATTTCACCTGCACCAACCTAATACTTGTATAAAAGTACTTGTTTAAAGTATGTTAAGTAGAGATATATCTACAGAGTAAGACCTTATACATATATAGAACGGAAATTCTTAAAAGAATATTAAATCGCTAAGATGTATTTATGATAAGGAAATGAAAGGATTACTAACTACAGGTTAAATATCCAACATTAAATGTTATCTGAAATAAATCAAATCTTCTATATTTTGTATTCTCGACATTTTTCTTCAGTATCTACGCACAATGAATATTACAATATTCTGAAATTATCAATCATGAAGAGATGTTTGGTAGATATCGAGCATGGCCTGCGGGCGATCGCACTTTCCATTCACACGACCATTCACGGGGTAAGTGCACCGTGCATGGATTATACAGCAAAACGGTCCGACGAAGATGCTAAGGAGAGGAGCAACATTCTGTAGCATCAGCGGTGAAATTTTGGCAGGTGCACATGGACGATCGTGTGTGTATATATATACACACACACACACACACACACACACACACACACACACACACACACATACACACACTTACTTACCGTCCACGTGAAAGGCAGTGAACGGTAAAGAGTCAGGTATTTAAATAAGAAACCGGATGGTCGATCCAGCGGGTGGCTCGGTAGAGGACGCCACAACTACCACTTCACCCAGGCAGGTACCTGTCTGGCGACTACAAGCCGACTTGGAAAGAACTCGTTCTCGTCCTTCCACGGTTCTCGCCTTTCTCCCCCCTTCCTACCGACACCACACACCTTCTTCCCTGTAGACAGTTTCCCACTCCCGCTTTCGCTATGCCCATGGTCTCAGGGCCCGACTCCAGTCCCCACCCGGACCGTGAAACTGCATGAGTGAGTGTCAGCGGCACTCAGTACAGTTACTGACGTCCCGTGCTGTGAACGATCACCCGTTGATCGTCGTCGTCGTCGTCGTCGTCGTCATCGACTTTAACATCCGAGTCGAGTGTAATCGAGTTTTACTATGCACCGCTCTTGATATACATATGCGGTCTGTAAGTGGTGTTATCCTCTTCTCCACGGTCCCGAACGACCTGATCTCCCTCTTTTCTTCATCTCGCGGACGGTTTTCTCTTTCTCTTTTTGCGTACCAGTCCCGTATGTTCCAACAGTCTCTCTCCCCCCCTCCCCCCCCTCTCTCTCTCTTTCTTTCTCTCTCTTTCACGCGCAGCAGATAATCCACGATCTCGCATGGCCACAGGTGCGCGCAAGGTGCTAACGTTTTCTCGACGAGCGGAGCCGCGGGGCCTTACGTTGCTCGGCCGATCGACCTGATTTGAACGGCAATTCGTCAGGCTCTCCCATCTCCGTCGTCCTTGAGTACGATGGACCTAGAACACTATCGACGAATCATGATTGTCCAGAATTTGGACAATTTCGCGGAGTGATCAGTGCTTGTCTATGACAGGGTGCAGTCTTAATTGTGAATCTCA